AAGATGGTAATAAATTACATGAAATTAAACCTAATTTATGTAAACCTTTCAATAATTTTATGTGCAGAAAAGATCAGTGTGTTATTTCTAGATGTCGTATTGGTCATACTAGAATAACACACGAATATCTTTTAAAAAATGAAGTAGAACCACAATGTATACCTTGCAACTGCAAGTATACTATTAAACATGTTTTAATCAATTGTATTGACTTTGCTGATATTCGTAAGAAGCATTTCAATGTCAATAATATGTATGATTTATTTAATAATGTTTCATTTACAAATATTGTTTCATTTTTAAAAGAAGTTGGAATATATTCTAAAATATAAAAATGTTATTATATTTAAAACGATTTAAAATTTTTATCACGTTATCTTAATGTTCATTTTTATTTGTAAATAATCAATTTGCTTTAATCTAGAATTTTAGTTTATTGAAGGACCTTTTGTCTGATTTTAAGAATATGCTTTAAATTGTAAAAAATATTCGAATTAGCTCTCGCCGCGATATAGCCTTGTTGTGCTAATGCGGCGTAAAGCAACCAACAATCAATCAATCAATCAATCACTTAGTGAATTGATCTGTCATCATCAAGATATGTTCGTTGTTCTGTTTTGTCTTTGGTAAAGGGCCCATAAAGTCTATGTGAACTCTCTCCATAGGGTACCCAGCATGGTACTTGGTGAGAGGACACTTACCATGTCTGCTTGCTTTCTTGTTCTTGTTGCAGGTATCACAACTAAGTACAAACACGTTAATGTCTTTGGTCATGTTATACCAGTGATATTTATCCTTGATCTTGGACATCGTCCTTGACACACCTTGGTGTCCTGCGCTTGGCAGTTCATGACTGAGCTCCATTACTGTCTGTCTTAAAAAAGCAGGTACAACCAGCCTTGTATTGGCTCCCTCCGTCTTGGGTTGACTCTTTAAAACACCATTGTCGTCCATAAAAAAATCTTTGCTTATTAATCCAGTGACTCTTGGCTGCTGGTGATGCCAAGAACAAATCATTGGACAGAGGTTCACTGCCATCTTTTAAATAAGGTAGGATGAACATCAGGTCTGGATCACTCTCCTGTCCCGTTTTGATTTCCTCCTCAAACCTGAGATGGTTATGCCCTCTTCTGGTGCGGTTGCTGCCACGACGCAATCAGAATGACTGTCCATTACAATTCTTGCTGTCGAAGGAGTAAAAATCAATTCCATTCCTGTACTGAACGGGAGTAAATCACATTCCGGAGTCGGCTGGCTGGCTACTGGCTCAATTGAGTCCAAGCTACTGGTGTGGCAGCAATCTTCAATAACTGCAAGTTCAACTGGTACTGCTGGTTGTTTCAAGGTTGAAACTTTTTCCGGTGTTTCAAATAACATTATCATTGCTGTTGCTACCCTTTTAAGTAATCTTGGCTTCTGCTTTCTTTTTCTAGCCAGTGGGACTGTTTCATCTACATCACACAAAAACTGTGCCCAACTTTGATGTGCTCGCTGGCAGTAATTACAGCCCTTGCAAGGTAAACTTGCTAGTATGGTGTCTGCAGTATAATGTGGACATTCTTTCAACCTATCCGGGAGACGGGACAAGACATCAGCATCAATGTGTTGTTTACCTGGCCTATGCTTTATAACAAGGTCATATTGGCTGAGCTCTTCCAACCATCTAGCCAGCTGTCCCTGGGGCTCCTTGAAATTGACAAGCCATGTCAAACTACTGTGGTCTGTCCTCACCGTGAATTGTCTTCCCAGAAGGTAGTGTCTAAACTGTCTAGTAAATCTAATTACTGCCAACAACTCCTTTCTAGTTGTACAATAACGTTTTTGTTCTGCTGTAAGTACAAAACTACCATATGCTATGGTGCGTTCTTCTCCATTTTGCACCTGAATGAGCTCAGCGCCTATTGCATTTTGGGAGGCATCTGTATCTAGGATGAAATAATCTTTGTTGTTTGGTAATGTCAATACCGGTGCAGTTAACAAGCTGTCTTTTAACGTCTGGAATGCAAGTTGACGTTCATGGTTCCATGAAAACAATTTTTTTCCTGTTACTTCATATAGTGGAGCAGAGATCCTGGCATAGTCCTTGATAAATGAACGGTGGTAGTTCACAAATCCCAGAAATTGTTCAATTTTCTTTGTGCATGTAGGCACCACCCAACCACTTACTGGTTGCAAATGTTGCTGAACTATTTTGAGGCCCTGGTTACTTACACTCCTCCCTAAAAATTCTACAGTCGTTCTAAACAAAGCACACTTTTTAGGCTTTAATCGAAGTCCGTACTCTCTAAATCTTGTAAATACCTTCTCTAAGTTTGTGAGGTGTTCATCGAAAGATAGTCCTAAAACCAATATGTCGTGTAGGAAAGCCAAGACAGTTTTCCACGTTAATCCGCTGAGGACAAGGTTCATCACTCTGGCATAAGTCCCTGGTGCGTTGCACAGTCCAAAAGCCATCTTGACACACTCAAACAACCCATACTTGGTAACAAATGCCGTCTTCTTACGGTCCTCTGGCTTGATCTTGATTTGCCAGTACGCACTATTAGCGTCCAGTTTGGAGTACCATATGTTGCCAGCCAAGGTATCCAGACATTCATCTATTAGTGGCAAAGGAAAGAGATCACGTGATGTCACTGAATTAAGCCTTCTAAAATCTATGCACCAGCACACTCCCCCATCCTTCTTCCTGATAAGGACTGGTGCTGAAGCCCATTCTGATGTTGAGGGTTGTATAACTCCAGCATCTAACATTTTCTTGAGGTGCGCCTCCTCCTCCTGAACAAAACAAGCTGGGGTCCTCCGCATACGCAGTTGAATAGGTCGGGCATCGCCAGTGTCAATCTCATGTTCTACATGGCTGAAATTACCAAGGTCAAACTGTCTTTGCAAAGACATCACTGTAGGTGTAAAGCAAGGTTCTCAGTTTTGATTGCTGGTCTACTGTCAAATCCTGACTGGATGTAGTAAAGAGTTCTTGGAGGTGGTCTGGTAGGTCCTCTTGTTGGGGTGGTGACCCATTTGAACTGGTACCCTGCTGACTGGTTGAACAAGTACCAACACTTGGCTCTTGAGGATCCTCCATAGATTCAATTACTGCCACAGCATGTGCCTCAGCTATTTCTAGTCCACTCTGGAGTCGGACAGGGTTGTACGTCACATTCATAAAACAAACCACTGGACTTTGTCCTTTAGCACAAACTGATCTGGGAATCAAAAGTGTAGTCTTTGAGTTTGGTTCTATCACAAAATCATTATCTTGTACTGGTACTGTGCAATTCATTCGCATTACTGAATTCGGTGGGACTACTACCGAGGTTGGTATCGTAATTCTGTTTACTGAGGGTTGAGCAGATGGTGTCTCTCCTCCTAAGACTAGCTTAACCGTCTTGTCGTTGATGGACATGTATCCTTGACCAATGTTGAGTATGACATTATTACTAGCTAGGAAGTCATGGCGAAGAAGCATCTCACAGTCAATTGGAGCAATATATAGCTGATGGCTGAAAAGTAAGTCATCTATCCTGAAAAGAGTAGGGTTAGTAATCCGGCAGGTCATCTGCATGTCTCTTTAATAACATAAGGTTGTTCTTGTAAGGAATCAAAAACCTTGTCTTGCATAATGGTAACTTCCGAGCCTGTATCAATCAAGGCAGTCACTAGCTTGTCCTGGACTTGTACCTTCACTCTCAAGAGTCGAGCAGTCCCAATAGTTCCTACAACTGTAAACCCATTAGATGGCCCCTCAGTAACTGAGTCCTCTGGCACATTAATTGTAACTGATTTGCGTGCTGTTTGATTGTTCTGTTTGGGAGGCTGCCTGCCAGGTGAATTATTTAACTCTGGGCAATCTCTTTTGTAATGTCCCTGCTTGTGACAATAAAACACGCCCCATCTGGAATCTGTGTCCTGCGGTTACCGGAACGATTATTATAACCACCTCTCCTGCCTTGTTCACGTCCACGAGAGGCATCTGCTCTATAGTCACAACTGGGCGAAGTACTAGTAGATCTGTTTGATTGTCGCATCTCCTCATTAAGTGTAGCCATTGAGGATAGTAGGCTTTGCATCTGTTGCATGCTCTGTTGTTGCTCTTCTCGTTGTTGTCGAAGCTGCTGCTCCATCTGCGACACTCGTGTGTCTATGGCTGATTTGGAAGAGCCTACCCCATGCACTGAGGGTGTATCACTAACTTGTGCTACTGGTGTTGGAGCTGCTGCTTGTTTCACATCTGGTGTTTTTCCTTGAGCAATGTGGGCTTGTACAGCTTTTCTTGAATGTTGGAACCACTTAATTATATCAATTGCATTTTCAACCGATACTGGTTTAAATCCACATGCATGTTGGCCAGCCTCTGGATCATTGCAACCTTGACAAAATTTCATTACTGCTTGTTTTGTCATGTACTCTTCAGAGAGATCTCTGAAGGATTGTGTTGCCAAAGATAACACACGATCTGCCCAGTCCTCCAGGGATTCCTCTTTCTTTTGGGTTATCGTCTGAAACTGTATCTGTGAAGTTTCTTGTGGTTCCTGAAATCCAAAGCGTTTCACCATTTTAGTCACTACTGCACTACAAGCAATGTCTTTGTTAGAGTCCAGCAGCACTGTATAAAAATCACTAGCCTTGTCCTCCAAGCACCAGCAAAGCTGGTCTCGTTTTTGTTTGTCTGTCCAACCTGCAGCCTCAGCGTACCCGGTGAACTTTGTGTAAAATGTCTTCCTGTATACTTTAGGTTTTTGGGCATAGAAAAGAAAAATTTATTATCTTGTTTCATCGGAGCTGGCTTAGCTTTATGACGGTTGCTCGATGAATGGTGACCATCTGTGTCTGACCGACTATGTCTGTCTGACTTCCTTTTAGCGTGCTTTTTGCCTGAGCTCTTGTTGTGTGGCGATGAGTAATCACTCACCTCCTCCTCAACGGGAGAAACATGTCTACTTGACACACTTGGCTAGAATGTGTTCTGTGGTTTCTACTTTTGTGACGACTCCGACGGTACACTACCCCTGAGTAGTACTAGATGAATCTGAATCACTATTTGAGCAGCTTGTAACCCTAGATATACTTCTTCGGTCCTGAAACTGAGCCTCTGGTCGGTTGTTGTACATCTGTTGTTGTTGTTGTTGAGGGTACACTGGCAAGTGTGGAGCTGCACCATAATAACATGATTGAGCTGTTCCCTGAGCAAGATTTTGTGTTGTTGAAGGCTGATCAGGCCTCCCTTGTTGATATGGTATATTTCCAAATGGCTGTTGAGGCTGATGTAGAGGTGCAGTAACATTGTGGAGATGTCGCACCGGCTGTTGTCTGTAAAATTCTTGTTGGTGCAGGATGGTCTGAGGTGGCTGCCCCTGTTGACCAATTGTGTTGATGAGGGGTTGTTGAAACCCTGACTGGTTGGTGTTAGGTTGGTGTTGACCTGGTCTGTTAAAAAATTGTTGTGTCGATAGAACTTGGCTGCTGATAGGTGGTATAGGTACAGGTTGGCTGATCGGTGGTTGATGTTGTTGATTATCAATCACCCTGATGAAGTTTTGTCGTTCGGCTGTATTACTTGGAATGGTATAGTTCTGTTGACTAGTTGACTGTCTTGTTGACCTGGGACAGGGTGGTTGATGGGCCCTGTTGACGGTCGGTTGAGGTTGTTGACAAGGTTTCCTTTCCCTGACTGGTGGAGTAGACATATGTGCAATTATAGGGTTTGACCTGTTGATGGTGGGTTGAGGTGGTTGTTGACCTGTAGCCCTATGGTTGACTGGTTGATTGACAGTTGTCAGAATTGACCTGTTGAAAGTTGGTTGAGTAGGCATTTGTCTGCTCGACATGGATGTGCCCTGTGGTTGATGTTGTATGTTGCTTAAAGTATGCCGGGTAGATTGTTGAATTGTTTGTTGAGTTGGGTGTGTGTTGGTGACAGTATGATCACCAGGTAGTTGAATGGCTCGAGTATGTGATCGAGAGTAGTTGACGTTATGCTCAACAGGGAGTTGAACAGCTTGTTGACGATGGTTGAAGTTGATGGTATGTTCAACAGGCAGTTGAACAGTTTGTTGACGTTGTTGGTTGAAGTTGATGGTATGTTCAACAGGCAGTTGGACAGTTTGTTGACGTTGTTGGTTGAAGTTGATGGTATGTTCAACAGGGAGTTGAACAGTTTGTTGAGGCGGTTGAATATAGTTGACTGAATTATCTAACGACCGACTGTGTTGGTTGCTTGTTTGCCTATTCTGGCTGTAGAAGTCCTGCTCAGTAGGCGGTTGACTTTGTTGAAACCTATCATTGAGATTAGGGTTCTCTAAATCTCGCTCTATCATAACAGTTGATAGCTCGTATGCTTTAGAGTTTCCACCCACAAACCTGGGTTGCTGGTTCAGCTGAACTTCTATCATACTTTCACTATTGTCGTGTTGAATACCTACAGACTGGTTGTTTTCTTGACACCTAAAGGCCTGATCTTGACTTGGCGGATCTGGCTTATCTGATGGTTCATATTCGACATTTTCCTGTTTATCATATTGTGATCCACGTCCAGAGCCAATTACTTCTGGTTGTAATGTTTGACTGTGAAGTAGTGGTTCCTTACAACAGGACAGAATATCATCTGATATTCTGCAACGGTCCATCTCCTGGGTAGGATATTCATTTTCGTCGATGCATGATGGCATGGATCTTGTCGACTTGTGATCAACCTGTGAGTTCCACACTGTACGTTGCACTGCAAGTGTCGAATCCATGACAATCTCAGAGTCAGAAAAAACCGGTTGATCTAATTTAGGTTTTGTATAGATTTCACCCCCCTGGACAGGTGCGTACGTAGCACTGTGTTGGTCTATCCACCTCTGTGTGTCCGTTTTAAATTGTTGGAAATGAGCAATCTCCTGCCTAATAGTACGAGTACAGGGTGTTGACTCAAAATTGGTTCCCCCTCCCTCATGTGATTTTACCTGGGTATCTGTCTCATAGTCTTGTGACACATGTGGCTGACCTTGATACCTTGCATCAACATTGTCCATGTCATTCAATTCACATGGGGAAAAATCAATCATCTGTGACACCTTGGACATTTTATTTCTCATATATGGTATTTGGGCCAATATTTCAGGTGTAATTGTTATGCCATTATTTCTCATAACCATGATTCTATGAGCGGTAGCCGTACCAATGCCAGGTACATATAGGAGAACAGACTCCGGACTGGAGTTGATTTTAATTGTATACCCACTCATTGTGTTTAATAATGACCTATATGTAATTATACTCTCAATATAAATAAATGACAAGACAATAACCAAAGAAAAAACAAGTCTTTATTGATTCTAAATCCCGTTTACAAATAGCAAAGATGTGTATTGCATATGTAAACAAATCACGGAAATCACTTCCGGTATTGATCTCAAGTGTCGTCGTTACCTGGTAACACGAAATCACGCGAGACTCAATTTGAAAAATCAATACTTTGAACAAAGTTTGAAAACTTTCACAGACAGTGAAAAACCTATCCCAAAACGCTTTTTTCAATGAGGTACTGCTTCTAAAGCTTTTATTTGAGCCTAAACCGACTTCCGATGTCACATAATAGCCAAATAAATTCTGCAAGTCACGCTTGATTGCACCTGGTCAAAATTCCCTGACCAAAATGGCTACCCAGGTCCCACGATGTGCGTTCGAACCACCCGCACTACCAATAATGTGGTGTTCGTCTCGGGAAAGACTATTTCCCCTGAAAGGACCCGACCTGGACTTATGATATATGACAAGAGAAGGCTCTATTACTGTAATTACCTCTATTATCGGGCGTTGATGCTGTCTCTTCGTGTGTAACGTCTCTTCACTTCGAAGGTCAGTCGCAAGAGGGCGCTGCAGGCGTGCGCAGACTCCGTCCTCAGCTGCATCCATCAAGAGGCCCACTGGTCAGTTATCTGCTCCTAGCTTCGAGAACCCAGGCTTAGGGTAAAGATACAACACCATTTCAGTTAAAATAGCAAACTTTGAAAGCCCTGGCTTTTTGTGATCATTTGCAAAAAAAAATGTCATTTCATGGTACCGTTTTTATGTAGAAAAAGCCTTCTATTTTCAGTATTTTGTCACACCTGACACATTTTACAAAGATTGAAAAATGCTTTAAACTTACACAAAAATTCACCTAACACATTGCTATATCATTGATTTCAATTACTGATATTTTTACCATAAAACAGGACTTTCTTTTTAATATCTTCTTTTTTGAAAAAAAAAACGTGATATTCTGAAATTCACACTCCTGACTAATTTAACTATCAAACAAAGAAGACAAAAAATACCAACATATAAACAAAATAATAGAAGAAAAATACCAACATATAAACAAAATAACAATATCAAATATCAGAATTGATTACAGAACATACTCTGAGAAGTTAAAACAGCTTTATAACATTCTTAAATCTAAGTTGTTGTCTGATATGAAAAAAAAATCTTTACATAAAATTTTGGAATAATAAATCATGTTTAAAGCTTTCAAGAAGGTATTTTATAACTATATGGCTACTCTGTGCCTTAAAATTGATATTAATAATAATTTTACAAGTGGTAAGCTGCCTTTTTAATACTAATATAGAAACATATATCTGTGTCACACTCCTGACACAATAAACGAACAACAGAAAAATCTTAGTCTAAAAACAAAAAAACAAACAATGTACAAAATAACTATTTCAAGAGGCAGAGTTGATAACGAATTATACTTTTAAAAGCTAAAATAGCATTCAGCTTTTTTAATCTCAAGCTCAACATTTTCAAAAATATTTTTTTTCTCCAATTTGGCAAGTAAATCGCAAATTTTTGTAACTCCACTTTGCAAATAAGTTTGATTTATGGTATTTAGAACCACATGACAACACTGCTCCTGATTTATATATATAATATCCATGTATCAGCAAGTTACTTCTGAACAAGCTAAATTAAAAAGTACATATATTTTTGTCACACTCCTGACACATTTATGAAATACATTTCTGACGCATGTATACGCTTCATCTAGTTATTTTTTTTACAATTGTTCATTGCATAACATAATTTCATTGGTATTAAATTTCAGAGATAGTCCTCTTCCTGGGAGTATAACAGGCCCCATGAAAACATTTATGATGTTTGAAGCTGATTCACAACTGGAATTTTTTTTCGTAGGCCACTTGTACCTCCCGTCCTCTAAACCATCCTTTCGCAAATATTGTAGTTGGACCTCATCAGTCTTGGAATCAACCTGTATAACCTTAGCTATATGTAGGGATTTTTTTCTTCGTTGATCTTCAAGGCGAACAGCAACATAATTATCTGATTGAATTCTAAAATAAATGTAATATATGTGTCTGCCATTTTTTGCAGATAAGTGGGCAAGTCATCGTCTGGTATAAATTTTGCCAGTTCTAATTTTTCATCCTGTTGCATATCAATGAGTTCATAAATGCTAAATATAATTTACAAAAAAAAAACAGTAGTAAATAATAAGAGAGAAGTTGAGCATTAAATAACATGTATATGTAAATCAATTGCATGACTTGATTTGAATAAAAAAAACATATACTATGTAAGGAAATAATGATAGATCTTTAAATTTAATATTTAAAAACTGTGTCTTAATTGGAAAGTTCTGTTATATGGATACACAATTAATATAATTACTGAATGAATAAATATTAGAAACTATTATACGTCAATAGTGCAGATAGATATTACTTAAAAAAGCAAAACCAAACCAAGCAAGCAATCAGTTACATCAGAAAGGTTTTGTATCTTGTCTACCACCATTCTTCTTAGCTGGGTGTGTGTATAAACATCCTTGGTAATAAGGTCCATTTGGTTACTTATAACCCAAAATAGACAATTTCCATCTGAAGGAGTCTCTACTCTAATTTTCACTCCTTTCATGTGAATCTCTTCAAATGCTTTCAACATTTCGTCGTTAGAATCTGCTTGGTTCACAAACGATACAATACTCTCAGCCACAGCAATGTCAAGATCTGAAGAGACTACATCTACAGGGTTAGTATTACATTGAGGTGTGCTAGGAGCTAAAGAACTGTAGTAAGGTTATAATAGAAATATAGATGCATGCAGTTTTAACTAATCTAGAAGATACCAACACCAATCTACTACAGAAAAGGCAAACTCTCTTAATCACAAAAATATTGACATTGGAAAAGATACAAAAATTTGTGAAAAAGAGAGTCAAGGATGTTACTAGGTTATACATATACATGCAAAGAAACTTTATCAAATTAACCTACCTTTGAGATATTTATTCTCTCTAGCTTTCATGACGGACAGCAAACACATCATTGATCAAATCTGGAACTGAATCTGTAATCGAAGAAAAGCAATTAATAAATATATAAAACACAATAAAAGGATACATTCATGGTCATGCTTTCAGCATCTGCTCTCAACAGTCTCTTGTCAAGTCCATAAGTATATCATCCTTCCGGAACTGAATCAGAGGACAAGGACCTTGTTGATTGGAATCAATGCATACACTACAGCAGCAACTAAGATCAGAACATAGTAGCATCTTGGATCTTTTCTTGAATGTTCGAATACAATGAAATGACTGTGTTCCTTTCAATGCTTTGATCATAGTTGGTTTGTCTGGCTTTATCTGATCTATGACTCTCTTTGGAACATACACGATTGTCTGTATAATGTTCTCACTTTTATTCCTCTGTAAGGCAAGGTAAACCTCGTAAGCATTGTTTATTACATTTCCGGCCAGAATGAGTCTACTAGTTATCCCTTTGATTGCAGCACCCAAACCATCTGATAGTCCCTTGCCATG